AAAAAAGGGGGGAAATTTTTTGTCCCGTGGGGGGGGGGGGGGCTTCAGTCTCGCCGGAGCTAAGGGAGCGCCTGCAAACTACTCAATAAGAAAAAAATGTTTTGGTCCTCCAGGAATACTCTGCAGCCTTCAGCAGGGCTGGGGGAAGGCAAAAACACCCCCATTTTTGCGAAAAATGGGCAGAAAATGGGTCCCTTTTTTTTCCAAATCAGGAGCATTTTTGCCTCCCCCCAGCCCTGCTGAAGCCTGCAGGGTGCTTCTGGGGGCTGGGGGGAAGGCAAAAACACCACTGTTTTTGCGAAAAATGGCCCATTTCTGGGACCTCTCTGGACTGGCATGCGCACACCATTAAAAAAAGGGGGGGGGATTACATTTTTTCAATGAAGATTTTTCTGAGCATGTGCAGAACAGAAAATAAAGATGGCGGCGCTCAGGATAGAACCGGTACAGTCATGTGTCTGGCCGAGTTACTATCTGTTCAGCTGAACCAGTCCGAACCGATAGGAACCCACTTCTGGTTTGTCCTTGGGCCAGGGTGGCTGGGGCCAGGTTGACGTCACTCACGTCAGGGATGCCTGTGATGGCCCGAGCGATCTCCCAGCGGAAAAAGGCTGCCAAGCTCTGACGTTAAAAACTTCAAAAAATAGCAAGCTTGATAAATAAATTATTAAGCTGATTTAGTGATGCTAGAAAACTTCTTAAGACTATTTTCAGGTGCATTAGTGAAGCAGAGTACCTATAAAATATTCATGATAGCCTTCTAACAATGAAAGTGATATTGCATTTCTTTAACATAGAAGAATTCTTACACCACCGTTGGCATAACAGAAGGCTTCTATTCTATGGGTTTGATGGAGTACACATTTATGAAACTTTCCATTCATAAAAAAGCACATGACAAGTGATTTAGAAATTCTGCTTTCCATGCAGATGGCAGGAGAAAGATTGGTCTATGTATCAAAACTACGCAACAACGTGAATTTGAAAGGGAAAAGGAATTTGGAGAGTGGATAGTTGTGCCTGATTCTGTCATTATATTATAATATATACTGCTGTTACACTATAATAATAAAGTGGTACTCCTGCAATCTCTATGGGAGTATTACTTAACCTCAGCAGCTTTAAGATGTGTGAACTTCAATTCCCAGAATCCTTCTGCCATCAAGCTGGCTGGGGAATTCTGGGAGTTGAAAGCTCCACATTATGAAGCTGAAAAACTCCGCTCTAGAATGTCTGCTTGTTGAACTGGAGGGATGATGCTGATTAGACCAGGGGTCACCAACCTTTCGGACCTCAGTGACCACTAAATTCATAATCCCGCAGACCACTAATATAAATTAATGACGAGATGGGGTCCTTCAGGCACTTAGCTTGGCCACCTTTTAGCAGAGAGAAGCGCCCGAGATCAACCCTAGTTTTGCTGTCCATTGCAGCTAAGAATCTCAAATATGGCCAAGAATGAACTTTTGTCTTGTAGGCAGCCCAGGCTCTAGATCGGCTCCCTGCAAACTCTCTCTTGAGGAGCCTGGCTGAAGTTTTCATGCACTGCTCACTGAAGCGCCTGGACTCCCAGGAAAGGAGGGAAGGGGCTGCCAAATAGGCAGCCAGGCTAAGTGCCTGAAGGACCCTATCCTGTCAGCAAGCAAGATTAATTGCTTTGGTGGGCTGTATCTGGCCCAGGGGGCATAGTTCGAGAATCGCTGAGTTAGCGCAATATTAAAAATGCAAAGATTTTTCTCCAGACCACCAACATTTTCTCGCAGACCACCAACATTTTCTCGCAGACCACCAATGGTCCAAGGGCCACCAGTTGGTGACCGCTAGATTAGACGGTCTTCTTCAAGACCAGCACAATTAAAGGCAACTTTGGTCTGTCACCCTCACAGAGTGTAGCCAAAATGAAGGCTGTGTTATGACTGCACAGCAAAAAACCACTTGTGCTGTGGTTAAGTGCCAGTGGGGATCATTAGTGAGGGAAGTCATCTGTCCTAGAAGAATGAAATATTTTGAGAAATATTTAAAAAGGCAGAGTATTATATTTCCCCTAAAAGAGAAAAAGAAATCTTAAGGGAGACAGAAACTCAGCATCA